AAAAAAAAAAAAAAAAAAAAAAGAAGGGAAAAACATCTCAGTATTTTTACCTCCTGGACGAAGTTGTATTTTATTTGTAGCAACTTATTTGCCAACACTCAGAAGTTGGAATTTTCATTTAGATAATTAGATGGATGTTTGTTTTTGAATTTATTTGTGTTATACATTTACTTTTAATTGTTTTAAAGGGATCTGGCGGGGACTGAGAGTACAACACCACCATCTAAAAGTGAATTTCCTTGTGTCATTGATCAGTAAACGTTTTGGCATTTCACAATTGTTTGAAAGTTTTACGGGCCTTTAAACTCAATGATCTCTCTACATAAATACATGTATTGGTTATAAACACGATTCACCTAACGAAAGCATAAAATTGTAAACACAAAACTGTAGAAAGAACAACTTAGCCAGGGAATATTTATCATATTTCACGGAATCGATAACAGTACTGTTATCCTATCTTCTTTTTGGGTTTGTATATACAAGATTCATTCGCCCGTACAAAAGGCGAACTTGGTGTAATATAAATTCTATGTACAAATGATACCGATATAAACAATTAATATACAGCCGGTCGGCCGATCTACATATCAGCAACAACAGGATGTGTGGCTAGTCCAAATCCGAAGGGGAAAAGAGGATCATAGTGCTTGTCACCAACATTCATGGGAAGCTGATCGACTCTCTTGAACCATGTTCTCGACAACTTTCCTGTAAAGGCATAGTCACCAAATAGCACATCAACAACTCCTTGACCTTCGGTTCCAGGCAGCCATGCAGCTACAAGGCCATCTATCTTTGAAAGATAAGGCTCTACAACTAGTGGTCTTCCTGAAACTATAACTACAACACACTTGATTTTGTTGCAGACATTGTTCATCGTGCTTAAACCAGGTTCTGGAATACTGAGGTTTAAGTTGTCCCCAAATTGCTCGGCATACGTCTTCTCTCCCACCACCACGATAGCGTATGAAAATTCATTGGCATTTGATAATATTTCTGAGTCTGGGTTCTCACTGTACACGATTTCAGTGCTTGGATCAACTGTGACAGAGATTGCATTTAGTATTGTTGTTCCTGATATTAAGGTGTTGTTTTCAACTCCTTGCCAGTCGACTGTCCAGCCGCCACACTGTAGTCCAAGGTTGTTTGCATGGGTTCCCGCAACAAGGATTTTTGACGTCTTTTTTGGGAGCGGAAGCAATGGTCTGTTTGCCACATTTCCGTTCTTTAACAGGACGAGTGATTTCCTCACGGCCTCTCTTGCCAGATCTTTATGAGCCTGGTTGTTTATCTGACCAATTAAGCTATAATCTGCCAAAGGGTTTTCGAAAAAGCCTAGAGTGAACTTCACCCTCAAAATCCTACTGACGGCATCGTTAATACGAGTGATTGGGATAATGTTGTTTTCAACATGGGAAGACATGATACGAAGAAATTCTGTGTGATTCGGTGGGACCATCACCTGTGTATACACATATATATCAACAAATAATAGGTTTTCGAATGTTAGGCCATCACAACACGAAGTTATATATATGGCTAGTTACTGATTGATGTTTTAGCTAAGAATAAGCATCCCCTCACCATGTCAACTCCGGCATTGATGGCCTTTGCTAGAGAGGTTGAGTAGTTGGATCCCCATGGGTCGGTCATTCTTTCGACACCTGTCCAATCTGAAATGACAAATCCCTAGGAATTTGGGAAATCGGAGTAGGAGAGTTAGCTAGCTAGCTAGCCATGTTAATAATGTTGAGAAAGAAAAAAAAAAAGAAACACATGTATTTTCTTAAAGCATTTACATACTCTAAATTTGAGGGTGCCTTTGAGGAAATCGGTGATGAGATTCTTGTTTCCATGCATCTTTTGCCCATTCCAACTCGAATACGACACCATAATGGTAGAGACCCCCTTGATCACTGCTTGGTAGTATCCCGGCATATGAATGCTCAATAGTCCATGCCAATCAATGATTGTATTGTTTTCGTCTTTTCCATTGACTGTGCCACCATCGCCAACAAAGTGCTTTGCGCAAGCCACAACTTTATCCCTTTTAGTCAAATGATGAATTTAATTAATACTCCAAAACTCGTTGTAAGGAACGATTATTAATAAAATTGTTGCTTTATAACTTACTTTCCACCATTGTAAGGAACTCCTTTTCTTCCATTATCGCCTTGTAGGCCAAGGATTATGTCTGTCATGTCTTTGACAATTTGAGGATCCTCAGCATAGCTCTCATAGCATCGACCCCAGCGCGGGTCCCTGCATACCTGCACCAAACACGACAAGTATATATATTCAAAACCGGAACTTAATATGAGAGAGTATTCATGTGATTCATTTGAAGAAAGACGAGAATATATGTATATACCGCGATACATGGAGAAAAGACGAAGGGAATGCCTGTGGCTCTGGTTTCAACAGCTGTAGCTACTCCAATCTTCCTCACAAGCTCTGGATCTCTGCACCATATATAATTACATACACATTATTATATAATTAATGAGCACTAGAAATAATATATACAATAATAAAGATGGTGTTTGGGTAATTAAAAACAAAAGGTATGTATAGAATTAGAACCTGGTTGCACCAAGGCCCACATTGTGAGGAAAAATAGTAGCTCGATACAAACTGTTGTGGCCATGCACAGAGTCGATTGCATAAAGCATGGGAATTCCGAGCCTGCTCGACAAGGATCCATTCTGAAAGGCGTTGATCATTTTGATCCAATCCTCTGGGGTGGCCCGGTGGTCTTCGCGAGGCGTGCTGCCAGCAGCACTAATTATGCTGCCAATGGAATATTCTTTGAGAATCTCTGCCGTGATATTGCGCATATCAATCTGGGCCATCTGTCCGATTTTCTCTTTCAGGGTCATTTGGTCGAGGAGGGTCTTTATGCGCAAGGCCAAGTGTTGTTTCGGGTCTTTGTACAATGTATTTATTTTGGGTTCGTCATGGGTCAAGGCCATGGCTCCAGTCCATGATGCAAGCAGCACCAGGAAGCTAATTAGAATGATCTGGATGGCCATGGGGACTTGACTCCGGGTGGCTACAGATCAGAGTATCATCAAAATGAATAAATGTTAGCAACAAATTAAGCAACAAAAAAAAAAAATTATAACATGCATGGAGGAGAAAAGTATATATTTTAAAAAGATTATGATGAGCAGATAGATGAACCTCGTTCGTTGTGACGGTGAATAAAGGGGAGACAAAGAAAGTAATTACAAAATATGTACGATGTTTGGGGACAGAGTTGGAGGAGCAATATATAGGTGGACGAAAGAGACAACTTACGGCTCATGTTTAAGAAAACATTCAACGGTCATTATGGATGTTGCTAATTTTAGTAATGGCTCCTGTTTAGGAATGTTTTGAACTGTGGTTATATATGGACATTGCTAGTTGGATAACTCTTATCCTCTTATCCATTTAAAAAATGCATGTTTTCTTTCACTATTACTAGTGTGTATCCCGTGCGATGCACGGAGGAGTTTTATTTTAAATCTTTTTTAGACTTTATTTTAAATATAATTGTTTATATTTTTCACATCTCATTACAAAATTAAAATAAATAAAAACAATGAAAATTTATATATTATTAAACACTTCTCTTCATGCAACCTATTTTTTTTATCAAACAATTAATAGAAATCATATTCCCATCATATGATAATTATTATAAAATCAAATTAAATATCATTAAAGTAACAATATAAAATTATTATAAATTAAATTCACATCTAATCTCATTACAGAATTAAAATAACTAAAAACAATGAAAAATTATATATTATTAAACACTTCTCTTTACGCAACATATTTTTTTTATCAAACAATTAATAGAAATCATATTCCCATCATATGATAATTATTATAAAATCAAATTAAATCTAATTAAAGTAACAATATAAAATTATTATAAATTAAATTCATAAATTAAAGTAAACATTTGAAATTGGGTAGAATTTTCTCAATTTAAACGTTTATTGATATATTTAAAATATAAATTAAATTCATCTTATAAATTAATATGAACGTTTATTGAATATAAATTTTAATTTCAGATAAATTAAAAGGCGGGATAACTCAAGTTTGTTTTCAAAAAGTTTATAAAATATTGTTTACTATTTTGGTAAGAACATATGTAAGAATGATCGTACCATTTTAATTTAAAAAAATTTGGCAAGTTTGTTAATGTGATAAATTAAATTAGATAAATGATTAATTAGTCAAAGCATTTGTTTTAGATTAACATGTTCTATTTTATTTATTAAAAATAACTATTTTGTATTAAATTAACCTTTTGATTACATTAATTTTATATTTAAATTTTATTTTTTATTCAAAGTACTTTTCTATTAAACCAAAAAATATCAAAAAAATCAATTGCAATCAAATTTATAAGAAAAATATTAAATATTTATTTTATTATGGTAAAAGATAATCACACCAGATCAAAACGGAAAAAAAAAAAAATATATTCATTATTGATTAAGATATTAGCTTTAAAACAAATGATCAAGAAAAATAACTATAACATTTGATTGTTTGTTGGGGATACCAATTGATTTATATCTTACAAAACTCATTGTATCTTAAAAAGCCCGATTAGATAATGTGGATAAAAATATATTAATTAATTTATTACAAATGTGATTATATGAAAATTAATATAAAATCAGATGTACACAAATCTACATATAATTTTTTCTTTAAATATTTGAATTTAAATATAATTTATTTGCTATCATATAGGTCATGCTACATTAATTTTACCCACTTTATTTTAAATGGCAATATATATCCTTGTGATATCATATGGTTTATTTGCTACATTAATGGGTTGTAATTATTACATAATTTCAATTTTTTTAATTGATCATAATTTTCGCGTATTTTAGGAATATTTGTTAGATTATTATGGACATAATCACAACTTAAATAGATTCCACCAGTTGACTTTTTTAAAAATTAAAAAAAAAATGTTTAAGATGGGATAATAAAAAAAAATCAATTTAAATTCAGATTTTTTTAATGTGTATATGATATTCGATATTACCTTGATTGTTTGTGTTTAAAATCGTGATACCCGATTTTTTTAAGCTTTTTTACTTATATAAGACAATAAGACAATTTCAATTAATAATAAATTAATAAAATTTGATCAGCATTAAATATGATTTTATTTACATATTAGATTTATAAACTTTATGGGAAACCAACTAACAATCAGTAAAATAATTTTTATAAGAAATCAAATTTATAAAGCTTATAATCGATTTTAATTAAAATTCAGATTGGTTAAAATTGAGCGGAATTCATGGATATATATCAAGTTTAAAAGCATGGCAAAACAAATTATAGAAAGCACGTGGGATCTGTTTAGATTGTACTTAACAAAATTGAGTCTACATTGACTTATAAAGCATGTTAGTAAAGAAGTTTTATTAATCTTATCTTATTGCTAAAATTTAGCTCCATTTAAATAGGAGCAAAAAATTACAATTAAAAAAAAATGAAAGCATGGGTGGGAGATGGAAATATTTCAAAAGAATTGCAAGAATCAACAGAATTTTCAAATCCCGTACCATCCAAAATTTAAGGAAATAATCTCAATCCGAATAGCAAGTGAAATAATCCTATAAATAAGGAGTTATAATAGGCAAAAAAGATGAAATAAAGAGAGTAATAAAAATCAAATTTTTGGATTTCCATGAACCATGCACGTAAAATAGGCGGGATAAGTGAAAACATTTCAAAAAAAGTTACCAAAAAAGGCAATTTTCGAAAATTTTTGGAGGGAAAAAACTTACTAAAAAATTAATTTTTCTTAACTCTATTTTATAGTAATAGATTAATATTATTACTAATATAAGATTAATCCTACGATAATATATTTCAACAGATATTCCAATGGTATAGCTTCCGTTGTAATGTATCTAACGACTATGAAATTTGATTATCCCAATAAATATTCCAATGGTATAGCTTCCGTTGAAATGTAACTAACGGCTACGAAATTTTATATGAAATTTGATTATTTCAACAACTATTTTTCCAACGGTTTTTTATTGTAGTAATTTATGTTGGATTATGCAATTTGCGTTGAAATTTTTATCCCCACCTTCGTTGAAAAATCTACGGATGGAAACATCAAAATTCAACAAAAATTCCAACGAAATATTTTATTGGAATTTTCGTTGGAATTCTATTAAAGTATATTTGTATTTGAACTTTCCGTTAAAATATCATCATTTTGTTTAGTGTACTATTTGAACAAGTGTACATGCAGAAATGCAAATAATATTTAAAATTATAAGTATGATAATGAGAATATATCACATCTAAAATTATAAGTTTGATAATGAGAATATCATATTTTATAAATTTTATTAATAATAAAGATGAATGGTATATTTAACTGACATATAAATCACTATGTTGTTTTCAATAATGTACTTTTAAATTTTTGAGTAATTATGACCAATTAATAAGATAAAGCTATTTAAATTATTATTATTATTATTATTATTACTATAGCAATAATGTGCGGAACTTAAGTTATGTTATTAAAAACGATAACTAATTTTAATAAAAAAAAAAAAAAATTGCTTAATGAGCTAAAAAAATAATAGTGATTTTAAATAAATAGTTGGCACAACATATTTTCGGGTAGGATTATTTATCATGTCATTCAGTGCGAAACGTCACTTCTGAGTTTACCTGCAGGTCGCAAATCGTGCATAGTTTTATGCGGAGCTTGAAGCTTGCAACTCATCAATGCTTTAGCTAGCACAATTAATTTTATGTACATTTTAAGTATCATGAGGTCTTGCATTATGAATTATAGTTATTGTGACTATTTTATGGAATTTCATTTTGATCATAACAGAGTAGAACTGTAGAAGAGAAAATTTGTGTTACCAAATTTAAGGTCGTACGTGTTGGATGCACATTTCAGGAGAAGCAGAAAAAAATAAGGAACAAGGAATTAACAAGCCGAGAACATCTATCTCAGCATTTTCATCTCATGTTAGACGGAGTTGTATTTTATACGTTTGTTTTTGATGAATTTATCCGTGACAGATCAGAGTTAGTAAAATTGACGTTTAGTGAAGATTTTGGCATTTCGTAAATGTTTATTTTAAAGTGTAACAGTCATAAACTCTTGATCAATAGCCAACGATGAAGTACTCATTCGAGTTTCTCTATATCGATAACGTGACCAACAAACTGTATATGTTTGTTTGTGCCTCTCAACATAATATCAGTATGAAAATGCATAAAACAGTAAAAAAAAAAGAGCACCAGCAAAACAACAACTTAGCAAGGAAATTTTGTCACATTTCACAAAATCAATAAAGCAGGATTATCTCATCATCTCCCTTTTGGGTTTGTATATACAAGCATCATTCATTCACCTGTACAAAAGTCACACTCGATCAGGGTAACTTAAATTCAATGTACAAACAAATCGGATATGAACAATTAATATACAGTCGGTCAGTCGGGTCTACATATCAGCAACAACAGGATTTGTGGTTAGTCCAAAGCCAAAGGGGAAAAGAGGATCATAGTGTTTGTCACCGAAATTCATGGGAAGCTGATCAACTCTCTTGAACCATGTTGTTGCCAGCTTTCCTGTAAAACCATAGTCCCCAAACAACACATCAGCAACTCCTTGACCTTCAGTTCCAGGCAGCCATGCAGCTACAAGGCCATCTATCTTCGAAAGATAAGGCTCTACAACTAGTGGTCGTCCCGAAACTAAAACCACAACACACTTGATTTTGTTGCAGACATTTTTCATCGTGCTCACACCGGGTTCTGGAATACTGAGGTTTAGGTTGTCTCCAAATGTCTCCGCATAAGTGTGCTCCCCCACCACCACAACAGCGTATGAAAACTCGTTGGCAGCATTTGACAATAATTCAGAGTCAGGTTTCGGACTGTACACGATTTCTGTGCTGGGATCAACTGTGGCGGTGATTGCGTTTAGTATAGTTGTTCCTGATATGAGGGTGTTGTTTTCGACTCCTTGCCAGTTAACTGTCCAGCCGCCACACTGTAGTCCAAGGTTGTTGGCGTGTGTTCCCGCAACTAGGATATTTTATGTCTTTTTCGGGAGTGGAAGCAAAGGTTTTTTTGCATCCTTTCCGTTCTTTAATAGGACAAGTGATTTCCTCACAGCCTCTCTTGCCAGATCTTTATGAGCCTGGTGTGGAAAATGGGAAAAAAATAAAAAAAACCCTCTGATCAGTATGTATATAATACATTATGAAAAGTTTTTAGTTTTGATTATTTTGATCACCTGATTGTTAATCTGACCAATTAAGCTATAATCTGCCAAGGGATCTTCGAAAAGGCCTAGAGTGAACTTGACCCTCAAAATCCTGCTGACGGCATCGTTAATACGAGTGATTGGGATCATGTTGTTTTCAACATGTGAAGACATGATACGGAGGAATTCCGTGTGATTTGGTGGGACCATCACCTTTGTATACATACCAACAAATAATGTCATGCCATCACAACATACCAACTTAAACATAGATACTTACTGATGATGATTTAGATAAGAATATTCATTAATTCACTCACCATGTCAACTCCAGCATTGATGGCCGTTGCTAAAGAGGTCGAGTAGTTGGATCCCGATGTGTCGGTCATTTTGTCGATACCCTGCCAATCTGAAATGACAAATCCCTGGGAATATGGAAAGTTTAGAGTTGAGTTAGCTAGCTTGCCATGTTAACGTGAAGAGAAAATTAACACGTATGCTTTCATAGCATACGGCTAACGCGCTACATACTCTAAATCTGAGGGTGCCTTTGAGGAAATCTGTAACGAGATTCTTGTTTCCATGCATCTTCTGCCCATTCAAACTCGAAAATGAAACCATAATGGTTGAGACCCCCTTGATCACTGCTTGGTAGTATCCCGACATATGAATGCTCATTAGCCGATACCAATCAATGATTGTATTGTTCTCGTTTATTCCATTGACCGTGCCACCATCGCCGACAAAATGCTTTGCGCAAGCCACAACTTTGTCCCTTTATTTTTTTTACGTAAGTCAACAAAATAAATGATAAAAAAAACTAAGAAAACAACTCAATTTACAATCGTAAAAAATGTTGCTTTACAACTTACTTTCCACCAATGTAAGGAACTCCATTTCTTCCATTATCGCCTTGTAGGCCCAATATTATGTCTGTCATGTCTGTAACAATTTGTGGATCCTCAGAATAGCTCTCGTAGCATCGACCCCAACGCGGGTCTCTGCATACCTACACACAAAACACAAGTATATTCAAAACCCCAATCACTTTTTTCAGAAAACCTGAGATGTGTAAAATTTCATTTTTTTTTTTAAATATACACTTGAAGCTGAGTAATGTGCTATGTTTGAAGCAACACGAGATCAGATTTATATACCGCGATACATGGAGAAAAGGCATAGGGAATGCCTGTGGCTCTAGTTTCAACAGCTGTAGCAGCTCCGATCTTCCTCACGAGCTCTGGATCCCTGCACCATAATTTGACATTATATAATGAGCATATTCATTTTAGTTTGATGATCAACAAAAATTGTACAATTTTTCTATTTTGCCAACTAATGGCTTCATTCTGAAACTGTTTTATATTTGCACTCTATACACTATACATCAAATTATGTTCAAATATATAGAACCTGGTTACACCAAGGCCCACATTGTGAGGAAAAATGGTAGCTCGATACAAACTATTGTGGCCATGCACAGAGTCTATGGCGTAAAGCAATGGAATCCCGAGCCTGCTCGACAAAGATCCATTCTGGAAGGCGTTGATCATGTCGACCCACTCCTCAGGGGTGGCCCGGTGGTCTTCACGAGGCGTGTTGCCACCTGCACTAAGTACACTGTGTTGTTATGTGATTTCTAACAACGATGTAACACGTAATTAAGATGAGAATTATGAATGATTTGGACGTAAAGCATGTAGAGTAACTTCAACGATGGCCCCGGTCCGAGGTGAACCGAGGTGAAGAGCCGTGATGGGCTTTTACGTGTTGCTTAATAAAGTTTTTCCAGTTCGGAGATCGATCCCCGTACAAATATTAGGGGTTCTCTATTTATAGTAACTTTTGGTAGATACATAGGGATCTGTGTTCTACTTTTTGGATAAAGTAGCTTTTTGTGGGCGGTTTGGAGCAGTGGGTCCCACATAAATGATGACGGATCTTGTGGAGCGGGATGGTCGTACGTAGGCACCTTGTCACCTGCTTAAGGAGGTGGCGATCTCGGTTTAAATAGACCTCGGTAGGTGCTGACCACTTCGGTCTTCGGTAGCTCGGTCCGGTTCATCGCCTGGACCGGGGTGGTGTTAAAATCACATCAGTTCAATGGTCATCTTCCTCTTAATGTGATGTTTGGAATCTCTTAATGGTGTTTTACCGAATCGGATGATAACAAAGAGGCCCCCAATATCGGTGGGCATACGGAGTGATGGTCATCGATGTTGCCATGCCAGACATTTGGAGGCCCCGGATTGGTAAAAAGTCAGCGGCCGGGTGTTTATTGCCTTCGGAGGGTCGTCTTTGGTCTCTTGTCCGACGTAACCGAGGTAACCGAGGTGAGTTATTTGTCCGAAGTGTAGACTGTATTCCGAGGTGAAGACACTTGGCGAATTTCGAGTATTATGCAGGCAGTCGTGACAGGAGAAAGGTGAACAGTCGTAACGGTCATCGATTTAATGCTTAGACTGAACGGTCGCGCCGTAATGGTCTTAAATGAGGTAACGGTCGGCTTTAATAGGTTGCCACGTATAACGGTAGGTGTCTTATCGGACGAAGAGGTGGCGCCGGTTGGAATTAGGGGTCGCGTCGGTCGGACGCGCCCCTAATTAAGTCTCCCAACGGTCATAAATCGGAAATTATAAATAGGGTTTTGCAATATCTGGTCGAATTTTCTTCACTTGCGCTTTCATTCTTAGACCTTTGTATCCGACAATCTTGTTTGAGGAAATTCTTTTGAGTTCGAGAGTCGTTTCTTGTTCACTGTGTGTCTGCAAATCCTTCGGTGAGTTCTTTTTTCGATTCTTTGTTCATTTCTTGTGTATTTTTGTTTGGTTTGTACGCAATGGCGCCGAAAGGGAAGGGGAAGGCAGTGGCGAGTTCTTCTAGTACTGAGTCGGTACCTTTGGATGTGTATCACGACTCTCAGTTGGTTGAATTGGCTTTTGAGTATCATCGGTGGGATCCGATGTTGGTAGGGCATTTGGATATTAAGCCCGATGATGAAGACGGCGATCGAGTAGTGGAGGAGAACGCGGCTGATCTTGTGGTACCTCACTGGAGGAGACTGGTGAGGAAGTGGCCTGATCCTGCAGTCGACTTCGAAGGTGAGCCCAGCATCCTAACCGATGCGGATGTGGTGATGCTGCGGGAGCAGATTCGGATTCCACCCTCGGTAAAAATTTTTGCTCCATATCCGGGGGAGAGAATAACCAGTCCTCCTCCGGGGTGTGTTGGTGTTTTTGTTGAAAGTTTGAGGTCGGGACTGAGGTTTCCCTTACCGAACTTGATCACTGAATACCTTCGGAGTTGGGGGTTACCGCTGTGCCAGATCACACCCAATAGTTGGAAGAAAATAATTGGTCTAATGGTGCTGTTACACGAGCAGGGCGATGGGCTGCCATCGTGTGAGGAAATAAGGAGCATCTTCGCCTTTAAGAAAAGTCCGAAGAGACACGTTGCGGAGTCTTCATGCTGCTTCTTTGCCGGAGCGAAGCCGCAGCATGGCTTAAAAGTCGGTGGCATAATAACCGACATCCCAGAAACTCTTCATGGATTCCAGGAAGAGTGGTTGTGGATTGGAGGGGAGTGGCAGTCTGAAAGCTTCTTTCATGAACCTCGGATTGATGGGATGACGATTCCAATGTTCATTCATTCCGGAGCAAGTGAGTCTTTTTTATTTTGTGATTTGGGTACACTTTTCTGATTTTGCCTTGTTCTGTGTACTAACAGGTCAGAACTTTTGCTATTTGTAGAAAAAGAGACTAAACAAGCGGAACCGAGATTGAGTCCAGAGTTCGGTGGGAAATTAATCACACTTGCTGGTTTGAAGAAGGAGGTCCAAGATTATCGTAAGCTTGTTGTAGATTCAAAACTTGAGGCGGCTGGATTATCTCTCGGAGTTACCACTGTCAAGTTTGACCCCGGTAATGAATTTTCCATAGCTGTTGGTTTTGCCTTCATTTTTGTATATACCGAACAGTAGTGAGTAATTATAATTGATTTTGGCTGCAGTATACTAT